ATTTTGCCTTAGAGTCTGACATTTGACCACAATAATTAACAGCAATTTGATAAAAATACTACACACTTTTGGATTTCACTTTCAGCTTTAAAACCACAGGAGGTGGGAGGTGTCACAAAGTGCTTAAAGGTTCAGGGACAAAATAAAAAAAAAGAAAAGGAAATATTAATATGTCAATTTCAAAATTAGAATTTCCTATAATTTCCTATTTGCAATTTAAAAAAACTATTCTTGCACATGCCAGGTATTGTACAAAAACCCAGATCTAATTAGCCATATTAAAACAATAGTGACAACATTAGCAGCACAAGAAAAGCTTGCATAGTTAAAAAAAGCATTCACAATACAACCGAAGGACATGCAGACCTCAATTAAAATTGCATAGCAAATAAGAATTGACCTGATGCCAGAAATATTGCAGTGTCAGCACCAGCCATTCCTGTAGCCAGAGACTATTCCACAGTTTGAATGCCACCACACAGAACTGGCGTCTTGTACAAGAGTTTCAGTAGTAAATGTAGGATAAAACCTTTATCAGGAGTGCCAATGCAATCTTCAACCTCCACTACAAATTCATGTTCAGTATTAGCATTTTTGGTTATTTTTAATGCAACATAATTATTTGCTATTTGTTAAGAGTAGACCTCAGTGTGTTAAGCAACTTTTACAGCGGTGACCTATACTGAGGTAAAGCTATTGTACTGTACAGAGCTGAGAGTCAGGAGTACTAGGTTCTATTGTGGGACACAATTCATTGTTCACAGGTTGTCTGAACATTCATATCATTGTCAAGGAAGAAAGAGGACAAAGTGCAGTTGAACATTAGAGACTAACAATTAAATCCCACACATTAACAGATGGGCACAATTCCCATTTCAGTGAGATTTACTCCTAGATAAGTGGGCATAGCACTGGTTTCTTTCTGGCCATATTTTGTATTTTGACAGTGCCAGGGCCATTCACAAAATGGCTATCATAGTGCCTGGGCCAGTCACAAAACACCTATTTCATGAGAAAGAATTTGGTGAGGCTAAAAAAAATGTAACTTGCCCAAGAACCTAAGAATACAGCAGAAATGAGTTCTGAACCCACAGGCAAGAATGTACACACACACATAAATATCTACACACACTAAATCTGAGCAAACACATGTGAAACACACACAAAACTGCAATGAACAAATGAAACAAGTTCATCCTGACCCCACAAAAGCAGAACATGAAACATACACACAGTACACAGGCCAAATGCTTCTTGTCATTTCCAGCTAACTCTCCTAGGCTCTCAGACCACTCCCTATTCCCTTTCCAGATTATCTTTTTTTCTTTTAGCTGGATGCTTGAGCAAAGTGATGCATGGAACTGCTGCCACTTACCTTTAAAAAAAAATTAAGACTAGTTCAGCAACTCACGCAGTACTCCCAGAGCCATGCTTGGAAATAAAGATGGGACTGGAGGGGCAAGGTGTAGGGCAGCACCAAGGGTGAACTCTATGGTTACACTAGAGCCCATGGGGACCTCTGAGGGTACAGGATTGCCACCTAAATGGTGAATTGCGGCTGCTTCCTTAATTTCAGATGAATGAAGTGGAACTTCAGAAAGAGGTAGTTATGCACATACATATGTACACAGTCAGTTTGGGAAGCACAACAGTTGAACTAAAATTGCCCTTGGAAATGATTTGATGAATTTGCCCCCTTCCACCTTCTGAGATCAAGGTATAAATTCAAATGTGACAAAGTCAGTCACACCTTATGGCATAACTTTTCAGATCATGTTTGTCTACGAGCCAGTCTCATGTTTGACTGTTTCCCAGATTAATTTAAAAGGTAAGATATTATGGTGCCATGGAGACAGTTTCAGAATGCTTTTCCTAGCACACGGGTTTTCTGCACAGTGTCCTACTCAACTTGAAATTATTCAGCTGGAGAAACTCTACTTCATGTTTTATCTATTTGTTGTAGCTGATGATCATAACATTTGTACCTATAAACATTTCACACACAAGAAGCCAAGGGTGGAGGGGAGTTGGGTGTTCCATTCAAGTGTACACTTCGTGCCAGCAATTTGGAGTTCTTTGTTCTGTACGACATTTTTACATGGTGCATTGGTTTGTTGCTGTTCTGTATACTGCTGCTTAGATTATGCAAGCTAACATGTGGTAGAACTAAGAAGTAGAGGGCCCTGCCCTGGGTTTGGATTAGACTTTCTATTTTATTTCAGCCAAGAGCACTCTACTATATTGTGGTTCAGTGCCAAAGGAAAGCCGATTAAGCCCATAGCTAGGAAAATCTGCAAACAACCATAAAAAATGAGTTTGCATCGTTAAAGTTATATCACTTCTGAAAAACCTTAGTCTTAGCTAAAAATGCAAACACTAGGATCTGGGAAGGAACAGAATTCTTTTACAAGCAATCACAGATGTAATTGGTGAATTCTTATGCCCTCTTGCTTTCACTTTCCATATTTCTGCATATTCTCTGAGGCATAAGTGTGTGCATCCCTAAAGCAATTTCCCCAGTTGGTATACTTCCTTCCCGCATAGTTTTTAATGGATTCATACTGCCCTTCATTTTACACCAGGGCAATATATAAAACATAATATGAAAAATCCAAAAACAATATGAAAGACATACAATGCCCACATTTCTGTGGGACAACCCTAAAGAATTTGGGCTTGCTGTGAATGAGCCAGCATGATCAAGAACACTGTTAACTTGTCGTTCACTTGGCTCCTCTGGCAAATAGGACTGGCTAAATAAACCATGGATCTACTATGACTGCTTTATTAATTGTGATGTGACAACTCTCCAGACCAGAGTTCCCAGTCAGCATGCCTGCTTAACAAACCAGAGATGGAAGGTCTGTGGCTCATTTAGCTACTCCTGTTTGCAGTAGAAGCAAGCAGGCTCACGCATCAGCAGGCTAGCTCATTCACAAGAAGCGAATATGCCCCTCTCCTACATGCCTAGCTGCCCACTTAGATCTTTTTCTGAAGTCCTCCCCAGTGAGCTTAAGGGGGAAAAGTCTAGGAGGGGGACATTCTCTGTAGTGGCACCCAGACTTTGGAACTCACTCCCCAGGGGTATATGGCTGGCACCAACCCTGTTTTCTTTCAGGCACCAGGTAAAAACTTTTCTGTTTTGACAGGCATTTGATTAATTTAATTTGTATTTTGTTGTTGATTTGTTTGATTGGTTTTGCTTTTAATTATGTGGTTATATTTGGTCTGTGTCTTGGGTATAATTCTGTATTATCTTTTATCACTTCGTATAACATTTTACTAATTCTATTGCTTTCATCTATTTCACTGATTGTACATTTATATGCTGATTTAGCATTTTGTAAGCTGCCTAGAGAACCCTGTGGTTATGGGGCTGCATGAAAGAAAAATGAAATAAATAGATAAAATTCTCTAGTATTCTGGTATATTGTGATGTGGAAGCCCACCCCATAAAACTATCAATTATAACAATAAAAGATAGGAAATTGACAGCCATATCAACAAACATAAACCAGATTAAAACAACTAGACCGCACACTGAAAAGAGTGCAATGCCAGCCCCAGCCACACCATCCTGGGGCAGTTATCCACAGTCAGGGTGGCACAAGAGAGAAGACTCTCTCCCTTGTCCTGTAATATAACAGCCTCCCTTGATTATCTTTAAACACAAGCAGGCTGGTACAGGGAGAGAAATCTCCTGCAGACATTAGGGTATCAAGCTGTTCATTAGGCACCAGCACCTTGAATTGGACTTGGGAATGAACATGCAGCTGGTGCAGAATCTGTGTAATACGACTCCTCCTGGCTGTAGTAGTTACAATCCTGGCTGTTGCATTCTGCACCTTTTATTTTCTAAGAATATCTATGAGGACCATGTAGATTTCCAGGGCAGTGTGATGCTTCGACCACACCAGCCTTCCAATTAAAATATCAATAATATTTTTTTAAACAGCAAGGTGGTAGGGAGCCTGAGAGTGCCATGGAAGATGTCCAGTGGCACACTGAAGTCCATGAGCACCATGTTTGCGACCACAGCCATTGTGAGACCAGAGTGTCACTAGAAGTTCCAGCCATGTTAACTGGAAATACCAAGAGCATTCAAGAATCCCTTGGTTTTCACATCTGGAACAGAATGTGCTCATCAGTCCATCACTCATGTATATTAGAACAGCTACTGTAGATCCAAACTTCATCGGGAAGCAGTCTGATGATGAAAACAGGGACATGGAGCACCTGCTTAATTCCAAACCTATAACATCATGCTGTGAGTATGTCCTGGTGAGTTGGGCCAATGACAAACTCTTGAGACAGTGAAGGAAAATAACTCAAATCTGGCACCTCACTGGACTGGTCTCTAGCAAAAAACCAAAACCAAAACCAAAACTCTATCAATGAGCAATCTGCTGCTCCCTGCACCGCCAGGTGGACAAAGCTGGGACAAATACTGGTTAAGGTGGGTAGAATGTATCTTGGTGACAGAAGCCAGGTTGGCCCTTTCATCCACAATTAAATCACAGATGAAAGCTATTTAATTATGGACTAACCTGTCATTTTCAAGTAGACCATCCAGACTACATGGGAGGTTAAAAGGGGCAATCCAAATCTAAATATTGGGTATAGGATCAGAAGAGTTGGTAGTTTTCAGATGTCTTCCCCTTTTTGTGTGCATTTGCTGCAATATGAGTAGCTAAGTGCTTACACCCATCAAGGCACGGAACAGCAGGCGACATAATGCAATCACTTTCCCTTGAAGCTAAGAACTGTCACTACCTAGTCAACACTTTGTCCCATCTTTTATGTTTAAGCTTCATATTCGTTATAAACAGAGTTGCCTTTGGTTGGCCAGTTCCATAAAGATATGTTAATGCTTAGAAGAGCTATTTGTGCTCCTTTCAGCTTCTAACGACGCTAAGAATTTATTTATGCTAACTGGTTTCCAGAAGAAAATACACTAATAATGCAAAATGCCAGCATGTTAAAAAGTTAGTTCATAGTACCTTCTGCCATTTCCATGCCACTGGGGAGTTTACAATGTCCAGCATGACTTACAACCCAAACTGGATACTTCTGATTCAGACCAAAGTACAAAGTTTGAATGAATGTTTGATAGTAGCCAACGATTCCTGGATTACCTGAAAAAGAAAGAAATCTTCTAAGTGCAGGTCATAAACTAAAACACAACTGTTAAAGATAAGAAAAACAAATACAATATAAAACATTGTTGACCTGCATCCAACTCATGTTTGTCAAATATTTTTCACTATATTGACCAAATTTATTTTTCACTTGATTTCAGCTATTAAAAAATAAGCCTTAAAATGCATGCGGTTATTCACAAAGGTTAACTCTCCCATCACCACCCAGAAGTCTATCATGTCTAAAGTTTAATTTCTAACATTTCCCCCCATACCACAGAACTGCACAATACCATAGACACTTTTACCAAGATTTTGAACTGCTTCCATAAATTTGCCTAGTACAAAAGGTTATGGAAAATTGGGTGATTTAGGGTGCAATCCAATCCAGATATTCACAAACCTCCAAATTGTGAATGTCCTTTTTTTTGTAGGACAAAAAGGGCATAGATACTTACTTTCGTCATTCACACTGGAACTTTCGCTAACACTGAGAAATGCCTCAAAGGAGTAGAAACAAGAGCCAATGCCATGAATTAATCTTTAAAACATGAAAGGCAACCAAAAATATTTTAATTAGAGAAATAAAAGGGACAACAAAACTGCTATCAGCAGACTTTAAATACCCTCAATATGTTACTTATTGAATTACTAGTCTGTTAGTTTAGATTGAACATTTTCCAATGTTTCTGGTTGTGTATCTACAGCCACAACATGTGAAGTAATCTCATTCAATACCCGCAAGGATAGCACAGAGCCAAACAAAACCCAGACCTTCACCCTACAGTACTTTGCTCAATTGTATGGGGCTTTATTCAGAATAGGGACAAAAGCAAAATCCTTTGAGTTCCAGACTAAAATCCAACTTCACAGCTTAGAACTCTCAGTTTCTCACTCTGTTCAATAATCTCTGTAAAAAGGCTGCATTACAAAGCCTGCTTTTTCCAAACTAAACAGATATGTTGAGTGACAGCACTGACACCTCACCCTATCCCAGTAGATGAGTTTTTCCCTCAAATTACCTTTCTTCCTACTTAGCATGTGCCACTACTATGAAGGAATGCCTTAATAACTACCTGGCATGCCTCACTGAAGGGGTAGTGTACCCTCCAATGTGGGCTAACTTCCTGTATGGGAAAGCAAACCAGATAAACCTTTACCCATCTAGTGAAAAGCAAGCAGGATGGAATCCCTTAGCATCTTTGCCTGGGCAAAGCAGGGAAAGCTCTTATTTTTGATCAATTACAAGCTAGGCTTAAGAGCTGTTCCCTTCTGAGAACATCCACTCATGCTGAAGAATTCCCATGCCTACTTGAAAGATTTGGCAAAGCCAATGGGTAAAAAGGGATACAGGAAAGCCTACTAGAGCAGTGGGGTCATCAAGTGATGTACTGTAAGCCACAAACCTGGCACACACACCTGGCATAGATTTATAACTGCAATCAAAAAGTAAGAAGATGGATACTGCTGGGAGAGTCAAAGGGCTCTTCAACAGATGCTGCTGCATGAAAAAACAATCACATGCTAGAATGTTTGAGTCTTGCTTTAAAAATTGCGAAGTAGAAATAGAAATTCTTGTAGGTTACTTTTTTCATTTCTTCTTCAGAAAAGCACCATAATTTTGAGGTTAAGTACTTCTGTAAAAGGTTTTAAAAGAAAAATTCTTTTCAGAAGCAACATAAAAATTCAGAATATTTTAAATTGGAAGGGCTTAAGTCTTGGGAAATATTGCAGACCACATAGAAAACTATAATTATTTGGTGGCAAAGATTTCTCAGGATGCTGAGGATTCCAAAATGAATGAAAACCTGGAGTTTCCTTGCTTGCGGAAACCTCATCTAGCTTTTGGCACTAAATCAACCACTAAAGCAGCAATTTTCAACTCCTTTATGCTAATAGATGGAAGTCAGTCCACACAGGTGTCAGAATAATTTAAATGGAGCATACACAGAATATAGCAATTTTCTCACACAGGAGAAATTGGGGATATTGACTGATTTAATAGAAACAACTGAGATCCTGACTGAAAAGTAAACATGTGATTTTGTGACAGGTCCATTTGGAGGACTAATCATGCAGGATTTTTCGCACTACATGAAGAAACTGTATGTGGAAGATACTGTGTATGATAATGTGCACAAAGAACCTAATATTGCTCAGCCCAGCTTACTTAATTTCTGGAAGGACAAATGGGACAGTCCTCTGCCGGCATGATGAAGGCTCAGTTACAGGTGTTGAAGAAAAGAGAGCACATTTGTCATTTGTAGAACAGTATATATTTTATACTGGATTTGTTTTTTAAGGTAGTGTATAATGTCCCAGTGTATAAGCCCTGGTGGGAGGGGCATCCAAGTGGATGAAGGGAGGTTTATAAATTCTGAAAATAAAACAAATACATAATCTATCCCTAGATTGCTTCATCCCAACAGCGATTGTTAGAGTAATTGCATAGGGATGCTTCATGGTATTTCCTTGGCCTCAGAGGTCACTTGCTTTCAGCCTCCTTAAACTTGGACCAATGTCTAACTAAACTGTAGTCAGGACAAACTACTCAACTCCCCATGTGCAATATTAAACCACCTCTATTCCCAAACAGAGAGCACCATGAGATGCACAGATGGAGTTACATACATCAATTCTAGTATGCAGAATTAAAGTAATTCCTTGTTGTATGCATACCTAAGATTAATGACACAATTGATAGCACCCATTAGTGGATGAAATTATGTTCCCCCTTGGCCAGGGTTTCATAAGCACTTGAGAAACCTATTTGCTAAAGGGATACACTACTTTAAAAAGGATCTCTACAGATTAGTCCACTTCAATACACACAAGCAGTAAAGTGGTTTCCAACATGAAAATATATTACTGCTTGTGAGCAACTTCTTAAGACTTCAACTCTAACCCTATCCTGGATGATGACACTTCTCCCTCACAGGCCCAGGATGATGTCGATGCTGTACTTGCTTACAGACAGCAGCCTAAGCAACTCACCAGCAGCACCAGATTATGTAACAGACACAATGACTGGGACCAGAACCTGGGGCTGACCCAGATGTTAACTACGCTCCACTATCTACTCTGGCAGCATTATTAGAGTCCCTAGTAATGTCACTCACAACATCAACAGTTCATACACGTGCCATCATCTGCCAGCAACACAGAAACTGGTGTAAAGAGCCGCAACATGCCATGGTAGCTTTTGTGGCACAAAATCCTTTATGAAGATTGACCACAAACTACTAAAAACATCCAGCACTTCTAGACACCATGATACGCACTCACTCACTATTACTTGAGTTTTGGCGATAATACCTTCATAGAATGTTCCTTTAGACCCTTCCATGGGTGCTCACAGAGGCCAACAGAAAGTAAACATCTTCATGGCTGACTTTCCTAGGTCTGTCCCCAAAAGTTTCTTCTCTACTTGAGATTTTTTCTCTATCACCTTTATCTAGAATTCAGCAGGACTTCAACAATATTCACCCTATCAACCTTAGCCTAGTCCACACAGGTCCACTTTCTGGATGTAACAGTACATTACTTAATGATAATATATTCAACACCCTAAACTAGAAACCTACAGACCACTGCAAATACCTAGATGCTTCCAACTTCTATCCAGAACACATCACAAAGTGGCTATCTATAATCAAGCCCTAAGACGCAATCATATCTGCTCTGACTCATCTGAGGGGGGCTTACAGTTTAAGGACCTAAATCAGGAATTTTCCAGATTACAATACTCACCAAAGTGAATAAACAGATCAGCAAGGCCAGGTTAATACCCAAAAATAATTTACTACAGGACAATCCAGAAGAGAAAATTGAACTCAGCTGGTTGTCAACTAGAGTTCCTAGCTAATACCACCCAAACATATCAACAACACATCCTGATCAATCAGTGGAGACTGGTGGCCAAGCTAATGAGGGAGGGGGTGGAGAAAGTCAGCAGAAGCAGAGCTACAGAGTCACTGTAGGCAGAACAGTCTGAATCTCCAACAGACACCAACCCATGCCACAGCAAGGATGAACTGAGACATGTGAATACTAAGATAGTACACATGGAGAAAGGGATGAGGAAATCATAGCCTCTCAAAAGCACTGCCTGGGTCCCAAAGTCTCTTATTCCAGAACCATGAATGAACAGAATATGAGTGACGGAAAGTGAGTGAGTGAGTGTGTCTGTGGTCATGATAGGCCCTGAGACCACAGTCTTTCATGAGTTCCCTACTTTTCCCCTAAGCTTAAGTCAGAATAAATATATTTCTCCTTAGGGTGCCATGTCTCGGCTGTTTTTGCTGCTGCAGTTTAACATGCCTACCCTTCCAGAAGTCTCTAAACCAGATAGGCAGTTGTTTCAGACTGAAAATTAAATAAGCTGCCCCATGGATATAAGCAGAATTACATCAGTTCCAACATACCTTGGATGGAAATAGCTTTATATACTGGCAAAGAGGGTATGAAAACTACCATGTGCAACCTGGTAGATGGAATGGCACTGACTTCCTGAACAAATAGGAAATCTCCTTGTGTCTGGCCACAGTACAACACCAATGTATCTCTCACATCTCACTCACTACTAAATTAACTCCAGAGCTGACTTTCCATCCCTCTCCCCCAAATACACACACACATTTCTTTTCTGTGCTTAGGACAAGCGAGAGCACAAACCAACCCATATGACATATTGTAGGAGCAGTGGTGGCCTGTGATTTTGGGAGGGTCCAGAAGATGCACACAGACCTCTCATGGCCGGCAAAACTCCTTATGGTGACTGAGCAGAGCAAAGGTTTTCCATAGCTAGGCATCATACCTGTGCTCTGGCCCTTAAATTAGCCCTGTATAAACATACAATAGTTCTGGAAGAAGAAATGTTCCCACAGAACTAAAAAAAAATCATCTTTCATCTTAATTCATCTTTTTAGAGTGATAATATTATGACAAGCAGGAGATAGCTGCCTGAGGAAAGGGGTTTTTTCAGTACTATATTTCTGTGCATTATCCTTTAAATACAATTTAACATTCAGATTAAATACCTGGAAAATTGGCCAGCTAGATACATTTTGGGAGAAGCATACTTTACCTGCCCCTATGGTATCCAAACTAATCATTCTGTGGAAGGAAAAAAAAAAAAAAAAAACCCCAATGGCCTGAGAGAAGAAAGTATGGTCTTTCAGGCCACTGAGTTACTTGACACACCACAGATGTAACCCAAATTCCTAATTTCAGTTATGTCAATCAAATACTATTAGATGATACAAGAATGTACACATGTGTGACACATGCGGTTTTAGTGAATAAAAAATTCTAGAAGAGAATGGCCACATTCAGAGAAAAATCCAAAGACCTATTTTTAGGTATATTTAATAGTAAGCAGAAAAATGCAGTTTATTCAAGAACATATGTTGCAATTACTTTCATAACCCCAAAGTTACTAGAGATGTGCAAGCAATTTTTAGAAGAAGCTCACCAAAATGTAGAAAATATTTTTGTGCTTATCTTTAAAATAGCACCATCTTCTGGCACATCTATTTCCACACTAGAGTCAGAAGGCACAGTTCTCTTGCGTGCATCATTATGTCTCAATATGGCTTGTAATGAATGCTGCTTGTAAAATATGTATAACAAGAACTGAGACTTAAACAAATCTGATTCCAACATGTCAAAGCTTTAAAAAGATGCATTAAATGTGTATTCAACCTTTCTGTCAGAAATGGCTCTTCCTGAAGCTTCTAGCACAATTTTTCAGCAAAGTGGACACATTCCTCTCAGAAAGATTAAAACCTTGAGAAATCTCCCCAGTTACTGGCCATGTCAACCACATCTGCAGTCATTTCATGGTAAGTCTCTGGTTGTGTCAAGACATCACAATAAACTGCGGTTTATCAAGATGAACTTAGCCTCCCCCAGTTACCATCTCCTCTGTCATAGGAGTGAATATTTTCACTTTCAATTCAATTCAATTCAATTCAATTCAATTCAATAAGAGGAAGATCAAAGAGGAGATGGATCGATTTACATAAAGGAAGCCAAAGCCTTGAGTTTATAACAGCTGAGCAGGGCTGCCAAGTACAAGACATTTTGAAGGGCATTCATTCATAGCGTCACCATAAATCAAAGATGACTTGACAGCATATAACAATAGTGTTACATCTGGACTTTAAACTGTAGTTAACTATGGTTTGTTGAAAAAAGCCAGCTTCATAAAGTATCATTTGAAGCTGTTCTGAAAGCCTAGAATTGGTCGCCACTTATTTTCAGACGACAGTTCTAAAGGAGAAAACACCACTTTGAGTTGTGGCTTAGGATGAGGCCATTGAAGGGACCAGATAGGCCTACCTGCTATGGACCTACAGTATTAGGATCTGCTGGAGACCCTTTTGAAGGAACCATTATTTGTAAAGACCCAATTGTCAGGCACATGTGACAAATTTTTAGGTTACCCTAAACTGCAAAATGCATTCCATCAACAATTAAGATTTTCTCTCACTTTCTTGGCCTTTAGAAAGGGTATAATGACACTTTTTTTTTCAATTTATCCTTTTTAAAATGTGTCATCTTTACTGTTCTTGCCTTTATGGTCATAGGGTATTAACATTTTAAATTGTTGAATACCCCCCAATGGCTTTTTAGTAGATATACAACACATTTAAGCAGATTGAAGACTCAGTTAAGGGTCTAAACATAGAAGAAAATGTTTTCTAATGTTTGTATCTGTTGAAAACTAAAAAACTAAAAATTTAAATTGCAATGCTAGACACAGTTGCCTGGGACTAAGTCACATTTAACTTAATAGCCCTTCTTTTATAAAGCAGACATACATATAATTGTACTGTTAGTTATGAACTTGTCTCATATTTTACCAGTTAGAGTTAGGTGTATCTTTCAAAACAAACCTTTTCGTTAATTAAATCATTTCCGAAAATCCTGAAACAAAAGCTAACACCTTTCCCTCAGCTGTTCACTACTCATTTCTGTCTTATCCAAGACCCTTCAGATCCAAATATCTGCCAACCTTTTTCCATAAGATTGTCATCTTATGCATATTTAGAGAGAGAAAAATCTTATAGCTGGAGAATACTGTGAGTTCTTGGAATTTTTCTGCCTAAAGATGCCTAGAATTGAGCTGCAAATTTTCTGTATGTCACTGTATCCAAGTTCTCTTCTTCCCAGTTATATCTTTCTCAGCATGTGCTTTACCATACTTTATCCAGAGAATACACAAACAAAGCCTACCTATGGAACTTACCTGGAATAACTAGAAACAAAACTTTGGGAGCACGTTCATTTTTCCAGAGATCTTTCCAAGGACCACACTTTAAGACCTGGGTAACTGCGCCGTTAATGTAAGTGAACTCTTTGTGTACCAGAACTTGCTCTTCAGGTTCTGCTTCCGTGCTCATTACTGAAGATAGTAAGAAAACTTCATTAACTAATAATAAATAATTAGTCCCTATGATATATGCTTCTATATAGCTCAACAATGTTTGAAACAAGGAATATCTGCTCTGACAACTACTATTCCACTCTTACTTGAAAAGCACAGAGCAATTTCAATGGAACTTCCTGAGTTCTCCCATCCAGCCTATAATTAAGGCCCCACCTGTTTAACTCAGTTTTATATCATGCACTCTAAATCATTAACTACCTCAATTTCACCACCTTCTTATCAGAGCACTAGAAGAGGGTGGTAAAGAGGTGCACCACAATAGATTAGATTCCGATAAAGGACCACAGCCCAGTGGATTATGGGTTACCAAGAAGTGAACTCCTACAAGTTTCATTTAGACAAGTGGAAAAGTGCAATTGTCATACTGAGAGCATCACTGTGATGCAATTATGCCATCACTTACTGCTTACTCCAGTGTGTAAGGGAAATCAGTGGTTATTTTATTGATTGATTTATAAAATCCACATCCAATAGCCCCAAATGCAACTTTCCATTTATTTGGCTGGAAAAGCCTATCATGAAAAGCTGCTCAAGCATATCATTCAAGAGGAACAATGACTCAGATATGCATTTCAGTCTTATAATGGAAAACCAAACAGAATGAAATCTGATCTGCCAAATTCAAACTTTTTAATTCCAATTTTTCTATTAAGAAAACAGGTTTCATTAACAGAGTAAAGGATGGCATGGATGGGGAATTTTACCTATTTGTTCCCTGCTGAAATCTAAAACAAGGATTTGCGTTATGTGGTTATGGTGGGGAGAAGGGTCCTTCACTGACACCACAGCACTGAAGGAAGCAGTTAAATTTCGCCCTCCTGTGCCTGCTCTGAGCCACTGATTGTCAACTTTCCCAGCTGATGCATCTAGCATTAGAAAACGAAGATATAAAGCCATATTTATCATAAAGGGCAGTTTATCTCCATGTCTTTAGAAGGAACAGTGAGCTTGCATGACATAGGCTGCAGCTGTGCCCTATGAGACAGCATTATACAAGGCATTTCTGGAAAGGTGCCATGCACCAACAGACCTAATCCAGCATGATGCCTTCAAGTTGTTTTGGAGTTCTGCTCCTCCCAGTAAAGGGAGTTGCGGTCAGGCTTAGTGGGAGGTGTAGCTCAAAGCACCTGGAAGGTGTCGGGTTGAGGAAGGCTGCTCTGTAGCTTAGAACTACATTTGCTCCCTCCTTCTCCAACCCCGGGTCATTCCGTTGCTTTAACAACAGAATTAAGCGGCAGAAAGCATAAGTTGAAACCCCCGTCTCCTCACACTGGGCGAACAGAAGAGCTTTCCTTGGGAATCTCCGCCTGCGTGACGATGTGAAAGCACAGCACGCCCCGGACGGAAGGTAGCAGTGGACCGCTACCTCCCATAACACAACTTGCTCTTTCTGCTAAGGGTTTTTCGCGCTAGGACGCGGCTTTGCTGCTGCGGCCACTATGTCAGATAAGCCTCATTGCATGAATCCTTCTCCTCCTATTTACTGTACTGCAGTTACCATTGCACCTGCTCCACGGTCTACAACGGAGATGGAGCGCGAAAGAGGCACAAGTGACGCACACTGCTGAAGGGCACTTTAGGAGAGGGGGAAAGTAACGCATCTCCAGAGGCTGAGGGGGAAAGCGGCGCGGCCAGCACCACGGAACGGGAAGGCGGGAAGAGCCCCAGCCGGTTCCTCTCCCTCTAAGCACGTACCTTCCCGGCTCTGTCGCTCGCGGCCGGCTCCTAACATTTCTCAACTGAGAGTGACGGACAGAACGGCTCCCGTTACCTCCTCCAGCCGGGAGGAAGGAGCGGCCACCACGGCTATGAAAGGCTGGTGAGAAAAAGGGAACGCTCCTTCCGCCAGGCTAGCAAATGGCGGTGCCAGGGAAGCATCCAATGCCGAGGCCACGAGAGGCATCGGAACCCCGCCCTGCTGCCTGGAGGACGCGACGGGAAGGGAGCGCGCAGCCGTGTTAGCCGCTTCTGCGCATGCGCTAGCCTTGTGAGGCTGGAGCGCCGGCATTCCCGCCTGCGTGATTTCTATGGGGAGGGCACCGTTCGTTGCTTGTCTGTTTCTCCTATGGCTGCTTAAGACCTCAGTCCTGTGCATGCTTCGGAAGAAAATGCCCTGCAACTCTCAGCATTCCCAGCCAGCCAAACATGCATGAATAGAATAGGATCGCGCCCTAAACATGTATAGCTATATTAATTCAGAGTGGCGCAGGGTAAGACGAATTCGGGAGATCCGGGTTCTAGTTCGCATTTAGCTTATTTATGGGTCTCTCTGGGCTTGTCACAAACTCTCAGCCTAAGCTACTCACTGGAAGGATAAAATGGAGAGGAAGAGAACCTAAAGGCGAGGTGTAAGTGCAATACTGTAAAATAACCATAATAAAGGAGGCTTAGGAGTGGCAGCGGCCCCCATATGAGCAGCAAACTCGGAGTGTAGAGGAGCTACTTACACAAACATACATGTTGCGTCTATCCCTACAGTTCTGATTAACCTAGCAATCCTAGGGTAACTTGAGTTCTCATGAATTACTACTGTTGTGAATAGTCACTTTGCTTTGTTTCATATTTATTTCTGGATTTTTAACCCTTCAGGCCACAGCACTCCCCAAGCAATTTACCAAATAATAGCATACATAGGAAAGAACACTCAAAGTTAGAAGCAGTTAAAGCTTTATGTAGAATTGTGCAAGAGAACCATTTGCATCTCAGGCTGCATGGATCACACAATGTACTGTATCTGATGTGTGTGCATAGGTGTGTAATGTAACACAAGATTGTGTAAGTAACACAAGTTTGTGTAATGTTGTGTTTCTTGTTAGTTATAGCAAATCTCTTTCAGTCTTACCATGTCTGGAAATTGTATGCACAAGTAGCTATGAGTTAAAACCATAGTTGGTGAGTTTAATAGGGAATTAATAGCTATTGATAGGGTCTTAATAGCAAAGAATCCCAACACACCTCAGTGTTGGCCAGAGTGTTCCCACCTAGAAGTGCATTATAACAAGTTATAATAGGAAATTAACAATTAATCCCAGCACAATGTGGTGTAACAAGAATTCCTATCCAGAAGCTTGCAATTTAAATCCCCCTTTTTAGGAATGCTCATTTTGATGAACAATAATCCATCATCACATATGGCCAGTACTAAGGCTCAGAAATGAGTTGTAGACTTCTGAACTGCTCCCTCTTCACATGAAAACAGACACGGCAACCCTGTACACACTCACCTGAAAATAGCAATAACTTTAGATCATGATTTATGATGGAATCAACATGTTTCATTACGTATATTTTACATGCAGACCAGATAGGCACAACTTACCTTTTTTAAGTTTTTCTCCATCTTTTTTCTTAACATGGATAATGCAGATAAAAGGCTAAGAAAAATGGTTTCACACAGCTCTGCAAGCTACCCATGTGTGGACGTTCTCTGGTGAAATCTTCCTGTGTTTGTTGTTGTTGGGCAATAGTGGATTAAAGGCATGTGTTACAACACATCAACTTCTATATCTCTACAAATTTAGCAAAAGGGGGCAAATCACAGCAATGCTGAACAATAAAAAAGGGGAGGCAGAAGCATGCTGGAAACCTAAAATCTACAAGAATGATTGCCACATGAAAACTGTACCTTTTCTTCATTCTGGGCATCTGTGTAGGTGTATATTAACTGGAAGTACAATTTTTTGATCTTTAATTTTTAATGCAACTTGCAACAGACCTGTTTTGAGATTATATATGGAGGTACTTACACTGGTTAGAGAGCCAGTGTGGTGTAGTGGTTAAGAGCTGGGACTGGAACTCAGACGACCTGGGTTCTAGTTCCCGCTCAGCCATGGAGCCAACAGGGTGACTTTGGGCCAGTCACAGACTCTCAGCCCAACCTACCTCACAGGGTGGTTGTTGTGGGGATAAGATGGAGGAGGAGAATGATGTAAGCTGCCTTGAGCCCTTTGTAGGAAAAAGGCAGGATATAAATCCAAAAATAAAAATAAAATACAAAATAAAATACAAAAGACCTTCTTGAAGAACCTAGAGCAGTGGTGGCGAACCTATGGCATGCCTGCCACAGCAGGCGTGCAAAGCCCTCTCAGTTGGCACGCGAGCCAAGTCACCCCAACAGCCGTGCATCAGAGAACAGCGCACACAGGGGCCATGTGCATGCTTGGAAGGAGTAGTGGCGCCAGGCTCTGTTGTCATGAGCTGCGACTCATGAGCCGCAGCTGGTCCAAGCTTTCACATGGCCGGTCAGTGCACTGCTTGCACTGGCTGAGAGTTGTTTTTTTCTAAACTAAAACCACAGTTTTCAGGTTTTATTGCAGTGTTGGCACAGTGTTGTTGAGATTGATTAGTGGCTTTGGGGTTGTAGTTTGGGCACTTGGTCTCTAAAAGGTTCACCATCACAGGGTTAGGGTTAGAAAAACTAGTTGTCCTGGCCTGCTTTTGATGGTTGGAATGTGTTTAGAATGGGCAGAAATGTTGAGCTGTGCAGAAAAAGCTACTCAAGATGGCTTTTTCAAACTGGTCCTATTTTCAATGGAACTTTATCCATATATTAGGGTTAGGGGTGTGCAATAGGGTAGGGTTAGGGTTAGAAAAATGAGGTGTCCTGGCATGATTTTGATGGTTGGAATGTGTATAGAATGGGCAGAAATGATGAGCTGTGCAGAAAAAGCTACTCAAGGAAGGCTTTTTCAAAATCGCCCCTTTCAATTGTATTTTACCCCTATATTAGTGTTAGGGGAGTGCACCAGGGTAGGCTTAGGCCAGTGGTGGCAAACCCATGGCACGCTTCCCACAGCAGACATGCAGAGCCCTCTCAGTTGGCATGCAAGCCAAGTCACCCCAGCATCCCCCAGCAGCCGAGCATCGGATAACAGCACACATAGGAGCCATGGACATGCTTGGAAAGGAGTAGCGGCGCCAGGTGATGATGTCACGCGCCACGACTCATTAGCCACAACTCGTCCACGCTTTCGCATGGCCGGTCTGTGTGCTGCCAAGGAGATATATACTGGCTGTGAGTTGTTTTTTCTAAACTAAAACCTCAGTTTTCAGGTTTTATTGTAGTGTTGGCTCTTTGTGATAAATAAGTGGGTTTAGGGTTCCAGTTTGGGCACTTGGTCTCTAAAAGGTTCGTCATCACTGAGCTAGACAGACTGTCATGGAGAAGGTAACTGCTATTTATGGCACGCCACGGCCACATCACTAGACCTAATGTGCAGAAAACTGTTCCAAGGACCAGCTGACAGTTGATTGCTATTGTGGCCACGATTGAAATTGGAGGGATACTACATCACTGGTGGATCTACCCCAAAAATAAGCATGGTAGGCATTCTTTATGATAGGAATGAGAGAGACTCTGAACATGCTGATCTCCTCCAGCATGTTCAGAGGCAGAATATACCATGTGGAAAGCCATTTCTGTTGAGATGTGTTAAACTTATTCAATCTTGAGAACAACAGTAAAGTTGTGATATTCTTTGGGCTCATCAGGGCTACTGCTTGATAAAGGTTTCACAATTTATGATCTATTTCTTAAATGGACTCTGCACTTGGGCTACTTCTGCAAGGTAAGGTAACTTTTCACTTTTCTATTGTTTTTAGTTGTCATCCAATGGACACAAAATACCCAGAATGAAGAAAGGGTACAGTAACGGGTTAGGGAGTAATTAAAGGGGCAATCAAAGTCCAGAGCAACAACACATTCCCTTAAGTTCTGCTCTCTGAGCAGATGGCAGTGTGTCTGATGTAATTTCTCTGCTCTGTATTTTCACTAGACAACCTATCCAAGCACCTAGTCAATGTCCTTGAGCTTTACTAGTTGGAACTCATCCAGGAAAATTAGACAGGACTGTGCTCTGGGTACCTCTGGTTATACTGGAGCATAAGTACTGGTAGAGGTCAGAGATTTTATGCCAAGCAGGCATATTAAGTACAGTGGTACCTTGGCTCACGAATGCCTCAGTTAACAACCAAATCGGGTCACGAACAGAAATTTTATAAAAATGTTGCCACAGGTCGCGAAATCTGCATCGGGTGACAATCGCGATTGTGCTGGAGTGGGGGGAGATGCCCGGGATTTCGCCCGCCTCCCCCCAGCACACCTGCACCTGCCTCCCCCGCAGCGGGCCTTTAATTGCGCCCTTCTCCCCCCACTCCCCCGCATGATTGCTGGGGAGGGAGATGGCCGCAATCTTTGTTGTTCGTTGCCACTTTGCTTCACATTTTTGTGAGTAAAAAAAATTGTTGCAGAACGGATTAACCTTATTTACATTGACCCTTATGGGGGAATTTGACTTGGTTCACAACCAATTTGGGTCACGACCAGAGTCCTGGAACGGATTAAGTTTGTGAGCCAAGGTACCACTCTAGGTCTTAAACAGATCCACAGTGCCAACATGCAATAACCTAAAATGACGTTGAAAAGCTCTGCTGGGTGGGGTATAGAAGATAAGGCAGCAAGATATTGCCAACTTTAGTGATCCTGAATATATGAAACCTTAGGCACACACCAATGTTTGACTGAATCCACCAGGAGTTTTGTGCCATCTGTGCTCCAACCATCTCCTATTTTGCTTCATTGCTTTCAGCTCTGGCGTGTGCCAGGGACCTGTGAGAGTTCTATTCCATGGAGGGTGCTCAGGATCAATCTAGTCAACTACCGAGGTGATTTCTGCTTTCAACAGACAGAAGGGTTTCACCAGCTGCATCAGCTGGAGTCCCCTCCCCCTCAGCTATCCCCAGAGCTCTCTGTAAATTGTCCAGATCCATTAGCTTGTGGGGGTGGACCATTTTAATATTTCCCCTACCCTTGCAGAGGGAAAAAGTCACCA